TGTGAATTAGCAAGCACTCGACCGTCTCCCTAGCTTTGCCCTTGAGCGCCGTTTGCAGTCGGATCATATTTTGCCGTTCTGAATAGTGATACTCTTCGGTGGTAGCCGCAAATGCCTCCTTGAACATCGGCCAGTCTTCTGGTCGACCCTCGAAGTCCGGTAAATCATATAACCTGCTCACAGGCTGCGTCGGTGTATGCGATAAAGCGCGGCTCAGCTCACTGACCACAGCTGCTAGTGCATTACCCGACGCCTCTTCACCCTGACTATTCGACTCTGCTGCTGTTGTAGCATTATGTTGCTGCTGGTTAAGTGCTGATTTCAAGTTGCGAATCTCTTGCATCATCGCAGTTAATTGTGCCGCCACGGTATTGGCACCTTCCGAATCTGCAACGTTTGTCAGTTCCCTAACAGTAATATCTAAGCCTTCGCCTTCGCCAGCGGCCCCTTCTTGGTAGGCCATTTTGGATGTTGCACGGGTTAACGGCATGTAACCACCTACGACTCAGCGTTTGAAAATGCTCCGCTATTTGCCAGTTTTTATGTTTGCTCTTGCTATCGGTCTTGATTTAAAGAAACCATTAGCAGAGCAAGTAGCACAAAACGCGAAGAGTATTTGTATTTCTTGGCTCCCGACTGGGTTTCGTTGTACTACTACGCAGATGAATAGAGCAAAAAAACGAACAATGTGTTGTTTGGAGTCGTAGCAAATGAAAAGCTGTGATAGCGGTTTGCAGCATAGCAAATCGGAATTTTTGCTACTGCTATTGCTATCGCTACGGGAGTCGTTGAATTGCTCTCGCAGCTGCTACAAATGCTCAACTGGTTTTTCGTTTGCTTTTGTACAGCCGTAATTGATCTACTAAAAAGAAAACATGCCGCCGCAGAAGCATAATTTTATTATTGGAAATTACTTTAATTTTACTGACGAGGGGGGTTTGCATGGTTTCTTCGACAAATTTGCTTAGAACTACACGTAGAATGCTCCTATGCTATAGGCGCATAGTGGAAAAAACCTCCCATACAAATTGACCCGCCGTAATGTACATAGATATGCAATATACAAGTACATAGGATTTTTATGGATCATTCCACGTGAAAACGCATGCGGCTCTGCCCAAAAATGGTGGAGAGCTATTAGCCGTATCGATTCGCCACTTCTCCCTCGCTATGTTTGAGTTCCGGTCGCTTAAAGAAGAATTTTGCATGTGAAAGCAACAACAAAGTTAGCTAGCACGGATAGCCGATAGCGAGATTGATTGTACCTCATTGAGTTCGTTCGTTTCGCCACTCGCTAACTGTTGGCGAATCGATGACGGCTATTGTTATTTTTAAAATGTGAAAAGTTAGTTATTTTTATGTAGAATCGAGGGTTAAGTAGAAGTCGGAAGAATATTACTTTGAAATTTTAGACAACTATTTATCCTCTGCGATAGCACCTATAAATGAAGCAGCAGATGTTTATACGAAAAGGGAAACATTGAAGCTACCTTACATGAAAGCTAATATTAGTGTTTTAAACTTCTGGAAAGAGAGGCAGTTAAGTGATCCAGTGCTCTATGAGCTAAGCAAAGTATGTTTTGCGATTCCACCCACTCAAGTATGTAAAAATAATTTTTGAATTTTCCAATAAAATGTTATAATTTTTCTTTTTTCTAAGGTCAAAATAGAAAGGGCGTTTTCTTCCCTGAAATTAGTCCTAGCTGACAACCGAAATCAGCTTAGTCACAACACATTAGAAAACATCCTACTAGTAAAACGAAATTCGGGCCATCTGGATAATGCCATCGAAAATGCATCCTTATTTGAAAAACACGACGATTAATAACAGTAAAAAATGCAATCGCAACGACTTCCGTAGCCATAGCAATAGTATAAGCAAAAATTTCGCTTTGCTATGCTCCGCACTACAATCACAGTTTTTTTATTTGCTACGACTCTAAAAAGTACGTTCGTTGTTCGTTTTTGTGCTCTATTCATCTGCGTAGTAGTGTAACGAAGCCCAGTCGGGAGCCGAGCAATACAAATGCTTTTCGCGTTTTGTACTACCTGCTCTGCTACTGCTCTCTTCAAATGAAGAGTTGTAGCAAAAGCGAAGCAATAGGTTTGTTGCTATTGCTAATATGGAGTAGTAAATGCAAACACTGCTACGACTACTATATCGCTCCCGATTGACCTGACTTATTCCTAATTTTCCAAAGGTACACTTACCGATGCTCTTCTCGATTCCTGCAGCTCACTGCCTCGCCAATCCTTTCTTGCAAAAACGATGTTCCTGGTCACTTCTTGCAGCTCACTGCTTCGCCAGACCTTTCTTGCGAAATAATTCCTTTTGTATAATTTTCAGCACACTCCCGTATCGAACTTTCCTTGCTGCAACTTGCAGGAAAGTGAAATAAAAATGTTCTAGAAGATCGCGCTGGTGTCAAAATAAAACCCTTCAATTTTAGTTGTACATATTCCGATGTTAGTAGAAATGGTAGCCCATCGATTTATTGATTAAATTTGGTGATGTCGGACTGTATGGGGTTGGAGTTGGATTCGGTTGGTTTTATTTTCCTGTGAAGGAGAATAACTTTCGTGTGACCTCGCGCTCTTTTTCTTCTAGAATAACTACTTTGGCGCGATAGTTTTGACACATTACACAATTATTTTGAGACAACTCACGGGGTTGCATTACAAGGTTACCAATAATTGAGATTCTTAAATATAACTTCTGCTCAACACATATGTTGCTACTTCGGGCGTTCCCCAAGGCAGCATATTAGGTCCGTTACTTTTCTTAATTTTTATTAATGATGCCAGTGCTTGTTTCAAACAATGTAATCACCTCTTATATGCGGTTGATTTAATTTTTTTTAAATATGTAAAAACTAACTCTGATACACAGATCATTCAAAATGAGTTAAATATCTTCTGTGACTGGGGTAGGCGAAATAAGCTTGAACTCAATATTAATAAGTGTTGTTTTGTGAGGTATTACAAAATACGTTCACCTCTGCAGTCGTCGCATCATATTTCAGACTCCGCTATAAGCTCCTATAATAAAATTAAAGATCTTGGGGTTGTGTTTGACTCGGGCTTCAAGTTCATTGAGCAACTAAACTACATTATTCCCAAGGCATACTCATCACTGGCTTTCATAAAGAGGAATAGCTCTGAATTTTAAGATCCCTATGCAAAAAAAATTTTATACAATGCTTTCGTGAGATCGAAACTGGAGTATGCGTCTGTCATATGGAATCCTTATTTTGATATGCACTCAAAAAGAGTAGAGCGTGTACAAAAGAGTTTTCTAAAATATGCGTTATACCAGTTGAAGTTTGATTTGCCAATACCGCCATTTATTTCTCGCTGTAAGTTAATTGATATGCATACTCTAGCAGGAAGAAGGACTATTTCTGGGCTCATGTTTGTACATGACATTCTTAGGGCCGTTTGCACCCTGTTTAGTTAACGCTAACTGGAGGTACATCCTTCAGTTAAGCACGTTAACTGCTTTATCGATCACATGTTATATGATGGGTGTCGATAACGTCGATAAAGATGTTTAACTGGGAGTTAGAATTAACTAGACATGGTGCAAACGGCCCTTAATGGTAGTATTGACTGTCCTGTATTACTACAAGTTATAAAACTGAATACTCCTGTTCGATCTTTAAGGTATTTTGATATTTTCTCAATAGAATTCTATAAAACCAAATATTCGCAAAATGAGCCTACTTCTAGGATGCTAGGTGAACTCAATGCTTTAATGAATAGAAGTAGAGATATTGATGTTTCCTCCAGTCGTTGATCTTTTAACTAAGATCAAGTTATATTTAGTCCTAAGTTTGTTGTTATCTAGTATCTAGTAAATAAATAAATATGGGTAAAGGTATGTAAATAATAACTGTCGCACAGATTTTTTTTTTTGAACAAAAGGGTCCTTTATAGATTTTGCGAAAAATGTATGTTATTGATGAATTTTCACAGATTTTACTTTAATTTTATTAATTAGTTTTTAAATTTGGGGGACCTTTACGCGTTGGCGACGGTGAGCACCGCAGACATTGAATGATAGCTGTATGAGCTTTACAATGACAACGACACAATGCAGCGAATTAAAATACAGCGGCTCCGCTGGCTTGCCATGTCGTTCGAATGGACACCGGCGCTCCAACTCTGAAAGTAGAGGAGGAGGGAGGCCCCACTGCGATAGAAAGATCAGGTGGAGAAGGACTTGGCTTCGCTTGGTGTCAGTTGGCATAGAAGAGAAACGACTGACGTGCTTTGCTGAACTCGGCTAAAATCGCTTAAGCGGTTACATCGCCAAATAAGAAGAAGAAGAAAATGGCAGATGGACAGCAATAAATTTGTTCCTGTGGAGACGGCGGGTAAATTCTCCGCTTCCGCTGCAAATGTTTTATTTTTTCGAAACCTACAAAAAGATGAACCAAAAATCTTTCTTTCTTTTGTCTTTCGTTCATGCCCATGATTCAATAATACAAGGTTAGATAATTATTGACAGCTGGGGTTTGACACTCTTTTACAAAAGCTTGCATTTACGCAGGACGGAGAAAAGGGGTGGAATAAAATCTCTTGGTGCGAAAATGGTAGTAGAAAAGTACGCAAAGTAGACAATTAGTAGTGAAATTGCTTTTGTAAATTCTAATGTAATTGCAGGAAGTCTGGCATTTTAAACGAAATGTTGAACGTAATATTGATGTGTCTATGTGAATTACGTAATTTATGTGCTATTCAAATGTATAAAAACTGCAAAATGACTCAAAATTAAAATAAGACTACTATGAGATTGATGAAACATCCAGTTTAAAAACAGTTTATGTTTTCATCAGTTAAATATGCTTCATATGCATATATATATAAATAAACATATTGCACAAAAGCTTATACTTTTATTTCACTCCAAAGCTACACTGTTTCCATGTAAATTTGCAAAGAAGCAACACGGTGCCACTGCTAAGGGAGCGGTGCGAGAGAGACAACTGTCAGTTTATCGAACCTTGTATTATTGAATCATGGTTCATGCCTACACAAATACTTGGTAAATTGAGAAAAGTATCGAGTATGTTCTTTGATTTATTTGTATCGATTCATCACTATCTTCTATTTATCCGAATCGTTTCACCCTAGTTGAAGGAACAATTTTGCTGTTTATTTTTAGCCAAAGGTTATTTGCATCAAATTATTCTCGTTTGCAACATTTATTACGACAGACGATGTCGTTGGCTTAATTTATTTCTTTTGACATTTCTTTCAAATATAGGCTGTTGGCTTGATTGGGGAAAATTTATTGCGAAACTACATCAGATCAACCTGTTCTCGATTTCAGCACACACTTGCATAATGAAAATTTGGACGTCGGAACACACATTCAACCACCCATGGGAAACAGTTACACAGGCTGCATGGCGAAAATACCCTAATCCCATGACTCCATCTATAATTGGCACAGATGTTGTGGAGCGTAAAGTAGTGGACGGAGTATTGCACACACATCGGCTCGTCCAGTCGAAATGGTGTTTCCCAAAGTGGACACATTCATTAATTGGTACGGCAAAAACATGTTTTGCAAGTGAGCGTTCAACAGTGGATCCACAGCGAAAGCAAATGGTTTTGAAAACAATTAACTTAACTTTCTGCCGTCACATTTCTGTAGATGAGGTTCTATATTATGAACCACACCCTTCAGATGCTAAAAAAACATTATTGAAACAGGAAGCATCTGTTAGTGTGCAAGGGGTTCCACTGTGTCATTATATGGAAGACATGCTAACGTCGACAATTAGTGTGAACGCCGGCAAAGGACGTCAGGGACTAGAATGGGTTATTGGGCGTATAAATGAAGAAGTCAAAGGTATTGCCCAGTCCGCAGATGACATTTTGATGAAAACGAAACATTCGCTGGATGATATGACTGAAAGCGCACTCAAAAGTATGGACGAAATAAGTGCTCAAGCGGCCAAAGCAGCGAAGCACATTCGTATATAAAAACTATTAATTTAAACGATTTAAGCAACTATCGTGTAGAAAGTTCTTGATTAAATTTTCGTGTAAAATTGAAGGAGTATAGCAAAGCGAGTATATGTTCACACTTTGTCGTACAAATTAATATTCAAATAAAAACTTTACTAGTAATAAAACACGCATTCCTAGATAGTATAGGGTGCATCCCAAAACGTCAGAACACAAAGCTTGTGCGGACCAAGTAAATGATACGTACAATGCAAAAATTAATAAATAAAAAACTTTAATATACCACGCTTCTATAAATGGACTAAAAAGTAGAAAATAATATTCTCAGTTCCATAGAATTTGTTTTGATAACTTTTGATTTCGAAATTTTAGCAAAAGTGATAAACAATTTATGAGATTGAAATGTGGAGCGCATGCAATACAAACCCTTACATTTAATTGACAATCGGGCAGGTTCTGCAATTCACTTCCGAGTGAATTTCAAACCGTGCCAATTTGAATTCAAAGCGAGTTTGATTGAAATTCACTCTGAAGTGAATTGCAGAACCGGCCTGAATAAGTCGTTGATTCAATAGTCAAACTACATATAGATCCATGATAGAAACACAGTAAGATAGTTCTCTCAATTCGTAGGTCATGCATTTTTTTTTTTTAAGTTTTCCAGCATTTTAAAATTATATAAAACTGAAAATGAAAAAATTAAATTGTGGCCCTTATCGAAGATCGAAAGTGGAATTCGTATTATGAGCTATGCAATTGTGTCCAAATTTTCGTTGAGTATCGAATTTTCTGTCGAACAGAATTTTGCTTTCGTTGGTGTAGCGAAATGTTAGAAAATTTTAAAAATGTATGATTTTGCCTTTGTTTTCTTACTTTTTGGCGGCTAGACACTAATTTTAAACAATTTATTAATTTCGAGTAGTTCTAACGTCGTGAATAGTAAACACAAGCCCGAAAGTCTGGTTGTACATATGAACAAGGCATAACAAGGTAGAAGTGATTTCGACATTTCTCTCTTTTGAACTGCGACTAAAATGTCAACTCATAAACCTATACTATTCAAAATTTAAATTTTTTTTAATATAAATTTTCGATTGTGAGCTGTGCGACTGATTTTAAATACATAATAAAATGAAAAAGAGTTACGGGCGGTATGTTGTGTTTGACAAGAGCTAGGACAACAAACTTGTGCGTTGTTTTAAAACTCTGAAGTATCAATGCTTCATTAGGAGACTTTTCACGAGTGCGCGAAGACCATTTTAGTGCCAGTGACTTTAATGGTTGCCCATCGCAGCCGGGTATTTCTAAGCGGACGCGTTTGTTCCCAGGTGCAGGAATTATTATACCGAATATGAAGAGAAAATCTTCCACTCATATACATGGATAGACCAAATTTCAAATGGTAGTCTAATAAAACCTTAACCGGAATTCCTTGTTAACTTAAAGAAACTGAAATTAAATTAATCAATTTAATGGAAAGGAAATTTCGAATTGCAAAAATTTAATAGCTGAATTATTGAAGTTAAGCTCTGATGTAAATTTAGAATAATCAAACCTATTTTTAAATGTCTAATATACTTTAGAATTAAGTATTTGAATAAAAAAATAAATGCTTAAAAACATTGGGCTAGTAAAAGCAAGAAAATTGCCAAAATGGGTTTATAAATGAGTGTGTTTCACTTAGTGTGTCATTTTGTGTAAGTATGCATTTCTTCATTTACATTAAAACGAAAAGGCAATACCTAAATTGAGGCTGATTCTAATGAGATTTTAAAAATTTTCATATCTACAAAATCTTTAATTTCAAAGATATTCACCCCTATTGCGAATGTCGACTGGCAGTAGATAAACGACTATTAAGCGATTATCGATTATCGATGCTATTGCGAGTGTCGCTTAGTCGCTCAATTAGCGACTGTGAATACTTTTTAATCGCTCATCCTTCTATTGCTGTTTTTTAGTCGTTGGAGTTTGCGTTTATAAAATTTACATAAGAAAGTGGTACTATAATGGATAAAAAGTAAGCCAATTGAACTGGAAGTTGTAAAAAATTGTGAAATATACATATGCATGTATGTGTCTGAATTACAGATCAAAAATTATAAGCAACAAAAGGCAACTTGCGCGGTTGGTCGTACTGATGTAGGAGAGTGAAGACATAGGCAAAGGAATTTCCGGAAAGAGTAGGGTAGGAAGCTCCGCTTCTATTGGAAAAGATACATATACAATATTTCTTGTGCATATAACTCCGGCTACGCCATCCACAGTGTTTTTGCGCAGAACCAACTTCAAAAGTTTATACAATAAAACTGCATAATTTATTAATTGACTAGTGCTCGGAAAATTGAAATCTTTATTTTAAATTAAAGTTGAATTCTTTCAATACACTTGTTATGTTGTTATGTTAAAGTTTTTAAACTCGGGTCACGCGTTTGGACACAAAAACCCAACATCATTGTACAAAAAACTTAACCGTACCGTATTTCTTAAACTTCCATAAAGTTTATTAATGAGGAAAACAGCTTTTCCTGCAAATCATGTAAAGCCTAAAAACCGTGAAGCATCGGGAACGCAACTTCTATTCATAAAACTCACACATGTACATACACCTTCCAAGTCCAAGGGATCCGACGAATCTCGCAATTCCCTCCTTGCTTTAGCCAACTCTACTAATCTATTAGCTTCCGCATCATCTTCCTCATCACTAAACCATATTTCAACTGTGTCCATTTTTTAAATTTTATAATAAAAGCAATTATTTTAAAAATGATGTAAATAAAACACTCAAGAAACAAATGTAAACAAACAAACAGCTGTTTACAATTCTGTCAACCATTCACAATAGTACAAATTTTTATCGATCAAGTTACACAATAGCAAAATAAAAGATGATCGACTCGATCGACAAATTTCTATTCTACTGCCAGTCGACACTCGCAATAGGGGCCATTAGCTCGCAGTTATAGTCAAAATAATGTCGACTCTAAAGTTAAAATCCGCTTTTTTTGACATTGAAAGTTATGTCAAAAAGCTGCTTTTAACTTAAGAAGTCGGCTTTATTTTGACTATAGCTACGGGCCGTTGAGTTTTATAAAATATGGTAAATGCAAAACAAATGGTTAATTTCTTTGTTTACATTTTTTGACATTACAGTCAGCTATGAGAGAGCTCGACTGAATTGTCACTTCTACCCTGTTGAATATGCCTTGCATATGAAAGAAAATCCCTATACGCTGTTGGCACGATCTCTGAAAACAAAATCATGTAGCTGTCTATAGTTTTAATATATTTTAAATAGATTTGGATCACAAAATTTTTTAAATATATTGTATGTCAAAATATATTTGAAAGGCTGCACTTAAACTCTCACGTTTCCTGCGCCTGGCCCGTTTTTTAAGCCCTCATCCTCTGACGAATCGTTCAACGAGATCTCCGTTGAGTTAATTAAATTTTTTTTTTACAAATAACAAGTGCTTGATTTGAAAAACAAGTGCATGGCATAACGGCTGTAATGAAAGTATCAAAGAAAAAACATTTATAAAGACATTTTTTGTTAATTTTATTGGTTTCCTAACTGCATATTATAATGCAAAAATATCAACTGATTAAGGGCATCATCATTTGACAAAAGGTGGCACCTTTTGTCAGAAATAACATTTCCAGCAGAAGAAAAAACTCTTTGTTGTTGTTGTTGATGTAGCGGCTACAACAACCCCGCCCAGGTCGGTTGGTATCTCAGTCGTTGTCGTCAAGTTCCATTAACGGCAGCAACAGGGACAAGGTCGTTAGGGTTGTCGGGTTTTCCGGGCATGCGAAGAGATGTTTCGAGTCATGTGGGGTCTCTCCGCATGCCGGACACTCATTTGGCACATCCTCATTCAATCTACTCAGGTAGGAGTTTAACCTGCTGCAGTAGCCGGAGCTAAGTTGTGCAAGTGTCGTTCGCATCTCCCGAGGCAGATGAAGCTCCGTCTCGTCTGTGTCCGGGGGCGGTATGCCTAGAACTGCATTCACAGGTCTAGAGTCTACATAACTCGAGACTGACTCCTGTGAATGCCGTTCAGGGCCAGTCGGTAAGCTGTCGGGTCCAGAGGTTGCTTGATGAACCTCTGGACTTCGTCCGTCAGTTCATATAGATGCCTCCTGACGTGCCTAGGCGAGGGCTCCTCTGCAAGCAGCTGTCTGTTTGGGTGGCCACTTCTGTGGCTCCCGACCAGGAACTGCTTGCAGAGCATGATGTTGTGCTCCTTTACGGGGAGCATTTGCGCCTCGCCGTGAAGATGGTGTTCGGGCGACATCAGGAGGCATCCTGTCGCTGTCCTGAGTGCGGTGTTCTGTGCAGTCTGAAGCTTCGTCCACTGCGTCCTACTAGTCCCCGGCGACCACACTGGCGCTACGTAGTTCAAAACCGGCCGGCCTATTGCCTTGTATGTTGCCAGCAACGTTTCTTTGTCCTTGCCCCAAGTACTGCCGGCTAGCGACTTGAGGACCTTGTTGCGGCTCTGTACTTTATTGACAATAGCGGTTGCGTGCGCAGAGAAGGAGAGCAGGCTGTCGAATGTTACTCCGAGTATTTTGGGATTATTCACCGTCGGAATTGGTGTGTCATCGACGTGAATTCCCAGCGGTAGCCTCTCCTCCTTCGTCCAGGTTGTGAACAGGGTCGCAGAGGATTTCGTAGGGGAGAGGACTAGACACTTTGCAGTGAAGAAGCGAGAAAGTTCGGAGAGATACCCGTTTACTTTCGAACACAGGTCATCAATACCATTCCCAGTCGCCATGATGGAGCAATCGTCTTCGTAAAAGACAATCGAGACTCCCTCTGGTGGTTGAGGGAGCTTTGAAATGTAAAAGTTAAACAGTAGCGGGGAAAGGACACCACCCTGTGGAACCCCCTGTTTTATTTTTCTGAATTTACTCGTTTTGTCTCTAAACATTACCGACGAGTGTCGACCACTCAGATAATTTGCCGACCACCGCTTGATCCTCTATTGGAGAGAGGAGGCCTCTATATCTTCTAGTAGCGTGGAATGGCAGACGGTGTCAAACGCCTTTGACAAGTCCACAGCTACGAGAATCGTTCTCTCACAGGGACGGTTTCTGTTAAGGTCGCGAGTTATCTGAGTGTTTATGGCGTTAAGTGCTGTTGTTGTGCTGTGCACTTTACGAAAACCATGCTGATGCTTCGCTGGGGTCAAGTGGCTTGTGAAGTACGGGAGTAGCAAGGCCTCGAGTGTATTCGCTACCGGGGAAAGGAGTGTTATCGGACGATAAGAATCTCC